GTTTTAGTGAATTTTGTCTTATGGAATTGACGCTCCCATATGTTTACCAAAAATCTCAATTATATATTATTCTCCGTTGGACAAACAACCAAAAAAAAATAAAAGCAAGCAAACCGTTATTTTTCCAAGACATCATACGTTTTCATCCAAAAACGTCGTGAGCAATGGTCGTTTGTATTTACACGTGGGCCAATTGGACGTATTTCTAGCAAACGGACCTAAGCGCCATAGGTCGAAGAAGGTAGAGGGGGGCTTGGATTGGCGGCGGAATCGGGCGTCTGGCTTATTCCGTCCTATACTCGCAATGCTTTTCCATGGCGCTTAGGTCCGTTTGACAGAACGCGCTATCCGGGATTCTAAATTCCTCAAAAGGAACTCAAATTGGCGCTTAGTTCCGTTTGATAGAAATACTTCCAATTAACTTTGGGTCTCAACTGGCACGTGGACCAAAATTCCCGTGCCGAAAAAACGCGTGGACGTAAATTACTGGAAAAAACAGGTGCGCGGACAAAAAATCGTTGACGAAATGTCCTATAACCTTTTGGCCACATTCGAATGTTCATACGGCGTTTTTCTTTACCACGGCTGCATAGTGCAAATAGTTTCCACCTCTACCGTGTCATAGCTATCATTGTGATCCGTATGAAGGGGTAGTAAAAAGTGGTTAGGTTTTGACATGGTCCGGCACCCATGTGTGGGATCATAGCAGGATCCGGGACTAATCGTCGCTCTTCTGACACAATAACGGATCTCGATATCAACATCAGCTCCAGAAAGCATGGATTTAAACGTAAAACGGGGCTCACGTAGAAATTGAGATGCGGGAGGGGCAACGTAATGGCTGCCGGGAACGGGGCGAATCGCTCGGTGACAATTTCCGAGGTGGATTCGTCCGTAGGTGTCACCAGAGATGCGGGCGCGGGCACCTGACCTTTCCGCCGCCTCCCGCACACACCGCGGCCCGGCGCGGGTGCAATCGTCGCCTCCTATCGAATTTCGTTAGTTCCCGCTCCCAGTTAAGTGGTTATCGACACCGCAGCTGCGCCGTTACAAAATTGCCCACCTATACTTTCGCACGCCCACCCCACGGGGTGTTCCGGTTTAAGTGCCATCATTCGTCGGGATGGGCTAAGAATTAAACGTCCGATCGGCGTATTTCCTTATTGAGAGCTCACGCGGAATACGCGGAACGTAGGTATCGAAAACTTCCGAAAATAACTCGTTCGTCAAAATTAACCTTTGTAGTTCACATTCAGAGGCGATATATTTTAGTGAGCCCGCTGTACTATCCTTTCGTGCTAAGGAATAACGCCGTATGAACATTCGAAAATTGCCAAATTTTCCTTGATAAAACATGTATTTTAGACGGCATTCATCCATATTTTCCTTCAAACTTTGCGTACAAAATTGTGTAAAATTTTTTGAAAATTATATTCGCAATTTTTCCAGTAAATTCGGTTTTCATCTTAGGAAACTTGGCAACGTTTGAAGGCTCTTACGGCGTTCTTCCTTGGCACGGCAGTATCTCCTATATCGATTGTCAAAGTGCGAAACCACGTATCTTCGACGCACAGTGGATCGAGTCAATAAGAGAAGACGGGCAAAATCTGGAAAATTTGAAAGCTTATATTTTTGGATATACGAAAAAAGGGTTAAGTGTGCTCTCATTGTTTTTTTCGTAAAATTCCCATTCAAAAACACCCCTTGAAATTAAATTTGTGACGAAACTAATATAAAAATTTGAAATATCCAAAAACTTTTGTTCGACCTCTTCTATTAGCTCGTCCCATTGTGCGATGTTGCAGACTTCCTGTCATACTTTATTATTTCTTCGGATAATCCGTCGATGTTATTTTTTGAAAAATTCCTTGATTTTTGGCGGGCCGCGCACAGTATACCGTATAGTATACCGCCTTTGCGATCGTTTCGACCCCCAACGCGATATGGAATGAATCGAGTACCTTAGTTCCTTTCTCGGAGATGACGGGAGGGCTCGTTTTTAATTTTTGTAAGCTTGTAAATAAGTAACCAACCTTTCTATCTTTTAGGTTGATTGTATTCGCTAGTAATTGTATTTTTTACACTGTAAATTCTAGAGATGAATGGGCTTTGTTATTTAATTTCTTTTTATTACTCATAAAATCGTGCCGGCCCATTTTAAAATGAATCAGCAGTTCAGCCATCCTCGAATGTGAGTATCATTCCTCCGGTGTGTTTAAAACGAAGCCTTAGTTGGTTTAAATAATGATTACATTCACTAAGGTGCTAATCAGATGACTTTCATGGAATCTTCGAGTATGGAAATCGAGCTGATGAGATATCGTGATATTTTAAGTGCGATATATTTTGTATTTTGCGAGTAAGGCAGCAGTGTGAAATGTCGAACGGTTGTCGAAGTTAAGCAGTATTGTATCAGTAACGACATGTTACTCCATTTACCTTGTCACCATAATTTCGTAATACGGACATCAAGGTTGATACAGTGTTGCATTAGGGCTAGATGAAGATTGACAGATAGACCCTGACGCAAACAATCCTATATACAATATTATAATAATCCGCAAAGTATTGCGGCAATATTATAATGACCCGAATATTGTACTTTCAGATGAGGATATATACATATGTATTGTTGACTTGGTCAATATTTTGTAGTGCAGTATTTAGTAAAATAAGCGTTTTTTTAAATAGAATGTCCTTCGGTAAAAAACAGTTATTTCGGCGGAAGACCGAGCCTTTAACCATTATCACTTAAGCTTAATTCACGACCCTGTACATAGAGATATTAAAAGTAGAATGTCTGATGTTCCAAGAACATTATATGAGTAGTTCAGCCTCGTGTCTTCCTGTTAAAGATTTAACTTAAGCGTGGCTCATAATCGACCCTGATTCTCTGGCAAGTTGAGAATCAAGTGGACGTATATCTGTCAAACGGAACTATGTGCATTATGACGTGAGCTCTGTCATGCATATATTCTTCTGGGTCTCAGGGCTCATGTCTTGAGGCACACAGCTCTGTTCGGCAGAAATACGTTCAAGTGGATAGCGCTCAGCAGAAAGGAATCAAGGCTCAACCTATTATTGAGGAAAAGAGGTTTGACGCGGTATTCCTTCTTAGAAGACAAAATGCAATAAAATAAATTCCAGCTCCAATGTTTACAAAATTGTCTCCATACACACAGACACGAGGGACCCTACTTCTCGGAGGGAAATTTTCCCGGAGTGCGACATTTTTCAAGTTGGATCGATACGTCGGAATTTGAGTCTCGTTGGGAAGTAGTTCCAAGTTTCTGAAACAGTAAGTTGTGAGCTTTTTAGTTGCCATTTTTTACCGATGGAGAGTGTCCAGTGGTATCGTAGTCTGATGAATCTGAGCTCGAAGACCACGGCATATAGACATTTCTCAAAACTACAAGTATCCTACCGCACATTTTAGGATGTCTTAATTATATTTTGGTACGGCGATTTTGCACAAAAAGTTTTTGAAAAAAATCTCCCTTTACAATGATACTATTATCAGTTGCTCTTTAATTTTAAGTAACTAAGATCTCTCTTTCAGTGGATGGTCACAACTATTTAGACGTAAAAAAAAAAATAAAAAACTGACCTTGTAAAGTGTGTATTCCGAAGTGATACTCATATTTTAGTCTTAAATATGAAATCATTGTGACGCATAAGGAATGAAACGCGAAGCACTCAGTAAGACTGCGAAGCGATCAGGGGACTTGGCTCCCTAGTATTTTTTTTTTTTTTTTTTTTTTTTTTTTTTTTTTTTTTTATTTTCCGTCGTGATTTTCGTGCGATCTCACTACAAAAAGTTCATTCATTTTTTTGAATCTTCTGTAGTCAAGAAACTCATTCATTCCTAAGGGCCTGGAGTGAACATTCTTCATGATGTGCACTAAGAAGGGAGTATTTCATGATTTAGAGTGCGGAATGATTAATTGGACTGCATTTTGCAATTTGGAACTATAATTTCTAGCCCGGTTTAAAAACAACGTATGTGCCATTAGTTTCCCTATGCACATAAGTGTTTTTTCAAATGAGCCAGAACTTATAGGTCCAAATTGCAAAATGCAGTCCAATTGGATGACGCTGGTACCTAGCAACTTTCACGGCTACAAATAAACCCGTGGTTAACATCAAAGTATGAAAAAATACAACTATGCGTCATCTTTTCATTTCAACTCCTAACCTCTGAGTATTTTTACCCTAAACCGCATGCGTTGCTATGCCGTAAAGCAATTCTAGTATGACGATATTTGCGGTGATGATCGAGTCATGGGAGACTTTCCCCCCATTTTGACGTAGCATTTTAATAAAGGCCTCTAACGAGAGAGCCTTTTTGTGAAGAAAAAATACATCAGCAGCGTTGTAAGATTCACTTTTGCACGTTTTTCCACGATGATAATTACAAGTATTTGGGTGGTGATATAACAAGCAAACGGATCTTGATTACACTGCTCCAAAACTTCCATTCCTCCTTAGTTTCATAAGAAAATTGCCCAACATTTTTTCACAGAATTAGTAAAAAAATTATTCTTCAGAAACCAAAAGAATATCACTCAAAGTTTAACATAGATTATTTCGGTGACGCAAAATTGGACTACATTTTGCAATTCGGAACTATAATTTCTGGCTCATTTGTAAAAACACTTATGTGTATAGGGAAACTAAGGGCACATACGTTGTTTCTAAACAGAGCCGGAAAGCATAGTTCCTAATTGCCAAATGTAATCCAATTGAAACTTGATTACTCCTTAGTGTAATGCTGAAAAGAACAAAAGAAGATAGACAAACATATGTTCGTAACATTCGGAGTTTTGCGTGTTGCAGAAAGTTGGCAACCCCGGGTTGACTATGATTGTGACCTTTGACGCGCACTTCCTGACGCTGCTCATCAATGACGCTCATTGCAAGCGTAGGAAAAATTGGGTAAAAAATTGACGGGACGCAGACACAGGATGAAAAAAAATGGCTCCGCTTCCCAGTCGCGATACGACACCCACCTTCAAATCGTTTAGGTTAACCAGTCACCGCATTAATTCAAATGTCGGAAAAGTGTTGGCGCTTCTGCCCTGCATAGTGCATATTCTGCTTAAATCCATCGGGAAGAATGATTTTGCGAAGTTTCATAGTATTTGTGATTTGTGTACTACATCATGGACCTCACCTCCTTTTAGCCGTCCCTTTGAAGGTCAGTATAAAAACATGATTCATCTGCTCTCATTTATGAACGTGCGCTTAAGAGTAATCGGACTCCTCATTGCCTTCAAACCTTTTAACTTGGTTAAGTATAGAGATCTCGACTACCTTTCTCATTAACCTTTTCGACCACATATATATGGGTCGTTTTCAGCTGAAAGGCCAAACATTTTGTGACCACTTCTTATTTTTTATCAGAGACAAGAGACCTTCCACCAGCATCTTGGCCATGGTGGAAGCTTTTACTTTCGGGACTTCAGCATTCTACTTTTGGCTTACCTACACAGTTGATGTTCAACAACGTGTTGGCAGTTTCGTTTTGCAAACAAGCCGAAATTGGCCAAAGTTTGGGAAATTTGTTTGGCTCATGACGTCACCCGAAGCTTATCATCCACCATGTGGGTAGGTCAACAGGTGATGACTGTTGATCCCTTATAATTGTCCATAAGGAATCGTTGAATCCCCGAAAGTAAAAGTTTCCACCTGCCGCCAAGAGGTCAGCGAAGGGTCTCTTGTCTCTTTTTTATCATATTTATTTATTTTTCCTTCCGAGGATCCACGAACAAGATTGGTCCAAACATTCTCTGAACAGGAAAACCTCCTAGAGTTCAATGTTGATACGTGCAGCGAGCTGTTTTCAAAATTTACATTGATTTCAGGATGATTTTGGTGCGAAAATGTGGGCTTAAAATTACTAATTTTTCCGAATCTACAGGATGATTAAAAGCTAAAGCATCCGACTAAAGAAGCATATTCTATGGGTCAAAATAAGACCTCTCTTCTCCGAGATTATTACCCAAAAAGTCCTTTTTAAAGGGGCTACATATCCCTCCTCCCTTCAAAAAGTTCTGGGGAAATATCGTTTTCCTTAACCATTACCGTCGCCAAAATGCAGAAAAAGCTGATTTATTACCGGGGAAGGAGGGCCGTAGTCTCTTTACAAAGCACTTTCGGAACAAATTTCATTAAAAAGAAGTCTTATTCTGACCCATAGGCCACGCTCCTACAATCTGGCGGTTAAAACGGCAGATACACCTGCGCTTGTTAGACGCGAAAGGAAGAATCCGATCCTTTTTCAAGCAAGTTACGGGCGTTGAGTTGCAACCTGATTGGCTACGGAGATTGCCGGACATGGTCGAAGGCCTTCTGTCGCTCAAGACGCAAGGTACACTCTACTACAGGTATAGACAAATGGAACCTTAGCAAGTCGTCGAAACGCGTAGATTTGACAGCGTCCAATGGAACGACTTTGGCGCCATATTGAAAAATTATTTACTTTCGGTTCTGAGAGAGAGTCTCGTCGATTTCGTGTTCTTAGTTAAGTTTTTCGTTATTTTGAGTTTTATCAATTTTTTAAATTCATCTGATAGCTACTTGAAGCTACCAGATCTGCCAGAACCTCATTTTGAACTGCGCGGCAAAGACGGTGCGACTTGCGACATCGCCCGGTGGCCTATATTCTCAGCACTGCCGCTTCGACACTCCGTTTGTCCATACCTGCAGTAGAGTGTACCTTGCTCAAGACGCGCGTTTAGCTCGTGAATGTATCCGACACTTTGATCTTAGATCACCCTAGATGAGCCGGAACCATTAAAACGCAAGTCTGTGACCATCGCAACTGACTTGTTGGATCTGACATTCTTCCGGGCGTAGCTTTCAGAAATAGATTTGGGCCAGGTGGATCGGATGCTAGAGCACTTCACCGGGGACCCGTGTAGGAGATCCATGCTGGAGGCGAGTATGTCGCCGCTCGAGGGTTGCCACGACTTCATGACCAGTCTGGCCAAGCTCCGCGCCAACCCCGCTTTGTCCCGTCTCATCCTGCCCGGCTGCCTCATCCTCCAGAACTCCCGATGCGAGTGGTACTACCTCCCCTTCGGCCGCGTCTGTGTCGCTGACGTCACCACGCCCAACGGCCAGACCATCCCAAACGTGCTTCTCGAGAAATGCGTGGCGCTCAAGAAGACTCCCGTATCTTCCAACAGCTATGGCACCAATTCGCCAAAAATACCGATCAAAAGCCCCTGATACTATCAACTGAAACACGTTTCTGTCAAATTTTTCAAAAAGCGGTAAATCAGTGGTATCAACGACATCAAGACCTCTAATATATCCTAGATAATATCTCAATCAATCAATTTCTCTTTCTTTTTTTGGTTTCACGATACACTGAAAGAAAACTCCGGCCATGGGAACCGTACTTACAGGATGTATATACGTACCCTTTGCGCTCCGGGTTCAGGGGCCGAAAGTTCCGGGCGTGAGCTACCAGTATCCGGAACTTTCGGCCTCTGAGTCCAGAACGGACGGTATGTCTATATAGCCCGTAACTTTTTTTTCAGTGAAGAGCGGTTTTCACCATAACTAGTCTAGTCTCTCTCCTTTTTCTCTTTCTTTTTTTTAGATTAATTTTTAGATGCCCAAGCCGTGTCAAATTGACCCGAGGCTCGCTAAAAACACTTTTCCGAGGGTTAAGTGAGGCCGAAAAGCACGAGCTTTAGATACAGGTCTATATATACATCCTAAACCAAGAATCAGACACCAAAATTGAAAATGAAAAGATAAAAATCGAGTGTCAATACAGCAAGCAGTATAGCGAATATACGATAAGCGACGATTTGGGCCTCTTCTTTGAAAACTTTTCTCCGGAATCTGAGTGACACCTCATCGGGAGCATCTAGAGCGAAGCATTGCGAGTTGACGCCTCGCGCCATGCACCCTGCCTTTTGAATGTAGAACGGGAATGATGAATTCTCTCAAAGATTCGGATGAGGAAGTTCGAATTTTCGTCTAATTTACGTGAAATTTCTGCTCTAGATGTGGAACCATTACAACAATTCAACGATATATGGTGATCATTATTCTTTTATAAATGATTGAATCCATGATTGTCATTAGAGATGGAGCGCAGGTAAAAGCGAGATGCAAGGGAGCGCGGTAGCTAAGATCTCTTTGAGGTTTTTCAAAAGCCCTTGTCTTAAAGGTACCTTTCACATTCACGATCCAATCAATCAAAAAAATACGAACGACCGTTAAATTATAAGTCCTAACCGAGGTATGAGAGAGGAGTTGCCAGTTGCGGATGTCTTAATTTGTTGAAATGATAATATGTATGCGTTTGATGAAAGAATCTTCCGTTTTCACCACGAAAACTGAAAACGTTCTTACAAAATTGGTCGTCCTGGTGAATTTGCAATTCTCATCCAAACGATAATTTAAAAAGATCATACATACGGCTAATGAATGATCGAGAGATAGCTGATTCATAATGATTGCTCGCGAGGGCGCATCATTTTGGAATTCATCATCATACATTACCTGTAATCTTCTTGCTTCGTAAAAGTTCCTTTCTAACATTTGTGAGCAGTCACAAACGATTACTCTCAGGTCTATTAAACAAAGCCCAATGTTAATAGTTATGCATTTTTTCACTCATTTCAGTTTATCGTATCAAACAAAATGATCAAAAATGTACAAGAATATTATTTTCAGTACAGCATGCAACTATTCGAACAGCTGTGTGCGTGTTGCATCATGGCAACATGAAGGCTCTATTCTCGTGGGAAACTCGTCTTGCACCTCGTCATAAAAGCGGTTTATAGTATGTGTTTATTCACCGCCTCTCAATGTAGCTCATCTTTCAATGTAGATATTACTGATACGCTTAACTTTATTCAGCGTTTGCATCGGTTCCATTCATATATTTCATTTCAACAATATCGCTTTCTTTTGGCGACCGTTCTTCAACGCAGTGACAATTCTCTCGAGTTAGCAATGCTCTTTACCATGTAATTCCAGTTTAACAATCAATTATTGGTCTAAAATCAATAATGTCACATACTTTCAAACCTACTTTGAAGTCTATTCTGCGGAATTTTGATGACGGGAATGTCCATCTTCATTCTATCCGTGTCATCGGAGACGAAGGAAAAGAAAAAAACGAAGATTAAGAAAAGTTAGTAGAAGAAGGAGGAGAAGAATGAGAAAAGGAAAAAAGAAAGGTTAAAAAGAAGCAGAGGAGAAGAAAAAAGGGAAAAGAAAGTGAAGAAGAAGAAAAGGAAAAAGAGGATACGAATGAGAAGCAAGAGAGAGGACACAGAAGAAATTTAAGAGAAGGAAAAACGAGGAAAACGAACAGTAGAAAAATAAGAAAAATGAGCAAAAAAAGAAAAGAAGAAAAAAAGAAGAAGAAAAAAATAAAAAGAAGATGAAGAAGAAGAAAAGAAGAAGAAGAAAAAGGAAAAGAGCAGAAACAAACAAATATAACTAAAAATGTTCCTTTTCGTCTTCTTGTTTTCTTCTTTTTTTTATTTTTCTTCTTCTTATCTTCTTATTTTCTTCTTCTTCTTCTTTTCTTCTTTTTCTTCTTCTGTTTCTCAGATTTCTGTTGCTCATCTACCACACCTTCTTTCTAGGAAAAGTAGGGCGACTAGAAAAAGAGCCCGGTAAATAATTTGGCTCCCTCGACGGAGCGTTGATAGCGAGAATGTTCATCTTCATTCCGCCCGCGCCCCCGTCCCCCCCCCATCCCCTCCGGCCGTCGTGGGCGCCCCCGCAGCCAGAACCGCGTCCGGCGCCCCGTTAAACGAAACGTCGCGCGTCGCACGTCGCGGCTGGATTTCATCCCAACGGACACGGACCGTGCGTTGTTGACTTTGCACAGGGCACGACGGAGCCCTCGTCGCTCGCCGCTCGCTTACCGCGAGGCCACGCAACTTAATGAAAGGTGTTTTCTTTGCATGGAAATTCCCCCGAGACCCCTCGATTATCCCCAAAGTGACGTCATACTTCACCGTTTCACCGCCCGACCGCCTCAACGGGCCTCACTAATGAAAAACGCCTTAACCACCCTCGTTCAGGCTCCCTTTATTCTCATAAATGTGAGCGTTCACGGAAAAAGGTACCGTGGTCCCGCAGTTCCATTAACCTTAGGATCGTAGGATCGTAGGTTCCGAGCAGAAAAAGAAGGAAAGAAGAAAATATGAAAAGAAGAGAAAGAAGAAGAAGAAAAGAAGAAGAAAAGAAGAAAAAGAAAAAGTGGAGGGTCAAGAAAATATAATTAAAACAAGTTGGTTTTTGCAATCGCTAGCGATAGCAATATTCGTCATGGGAACTTTTGCTTCTGGGATATGAAAATGTTAAGGTACAGTTCGTTTGTAGTATCTTCAGAATTGAAGGGGCTATGTAATTTTGTGTCGACATCTCTTTTTTAACAATTTTAATTTTTTTTCTTTGCATACAAGAAAGCTGTTATTTACCAATTATTTATTTTCGTTGGATTATGTATGGTTTTTGGAAGTTAACGCATTTAACTTTCAGTTTCGTTTTTTCGGCGTAAATTATGATATTTTTACTCTACGCATATGCCCGAATACGCATCATAAGTGACCTATGTGCTTCCTAAGTTGCCATTTTTTTCATTCAAATAGATGTAACTGAAATGTTAGATGTGTACTACCTATACTACTTTCATGTCATTGCTTTATTTATTTATTTATTTATTTACTTTTTGCGTAGGTATAAATTGTTATTTTTTTCTGAATTTTGGAGAAAATATAACTTTAAGAACGTGGAATGTAAATTAATTTTATTGAAAAAAGAAAATACCATCATTAATTTGGGCGAACAGAGAAAATATACATCAATATTTGGGTCAACATCTCCCTGATTATATGAAGGATGAATATATTAGTATTTCTGTATCAAAAAACTTAGCTTTTGTCTTCAGAGATACAATGATTCTAGTCCAGGTCAATTTGTTTTATTGAAAAAACAAAAACAACAACAAAAAATAAATAAAAAAAAAACAACTGAAATGTTAGACGTACTATTTTCATGTCTTTCTATTTGTATCAATAGGTACTTTTTGCTTAACTTACGAACGTTGAATGCAAATTAACTTTATTGAAAAAAGAAATCAAAGTCATTAATGTGGGGTAAAATGTGGCTGATTATATGAAGGAGGTATATTCCAGTATTTATGTTTAACATATTAATTCACGAGAAAATGTTCGTACATTTATCATCTAGTATTAATTATTTTTTGATAATTAGTCTAAAACATTCAATACAACCATTAAAAAGTAACACCCATCGTCGGGGTATCGAACTCCCGATTGCCTATTACCCGCTCCTTTTCATAAAAATGTGACGACCTAGTCAACCAGGCTATCACGGCTCCACGGTCGGTATTGTAAAAATAGCATACAAAAGACTCTAACGGTGGGCGGGGCTTATCACAAGAGTTGTTTTCGACGCGACGCTTTGTAGCTCCCGCCTAAGCGCCTTTCTCTGTGAGACATTGTTTACCTATGCTATCATGTGTCTCAAGGTTCACCTCACCATGCATTTGCTATCGCGGCAGTAAGCTGAGG